TTCAAATAGTGAGTTACCTCCCTTTAGTCTAAAACTATGTGTAAAAATATAAATTAACGAGTTTAATACCCACAAAAATAAAATAAAACTAGATTATTTAAGTATGAATTTATCTTTCTATCAAGGATCAAAATGTTTTTCGCTGTTCCTTCCAAAGACCGGTGTAATATCTTTGAAAATTGTTGCATACTACATAGATATAAATTTTTATATATCAAGAACAATTTTAGGAAAATCTTTGACAAAGTGGATAAAATTTTTCATGTGACTCATTTAGTCCTTTAGAACTATATTGGACTAAAGTGATGTGATTATACCTGAGCATATATGAAAGGAGACGCTGAAATTTAAATTTTTTTTTTAAATATGTGTTTTGGGTACATAATCTACCCAATTTCATTTAGTTCCTTTTTGTTTAGGTTTTTATTACTTTTGTTAAGTATCCCACATTAAGGTAATGGAAGATCTGCTCAAAAATGTGAAATGTAAGAACCCAGATGTAAATTTACTGCGGATGGTCTAGTGATTAAAGCATTTTCTATACGTTTCCACCTTAGTAAATTGCTTTCTCTTTTAATTACTCAACTCTAACATCTAATATTGGCCAGTAGTAAAATGGATTTGTATGTTCCCTGACCTTCAATAACAATTCTATCCAGATATATATTGAAAGCTAAAAATTTAAATCCAACTTTAAGCATCCCTGTGTCTTCAATGTTTCTCAATGTAGAACTATATAACCAGCATTTGTTGTATTTTGTTATCTCTCCACTACAAAAAATTTGTTTGAAGAATTCCTTTCAAAGGACAAAATGCATATTATAGGATTTGTTTTCTCCATTTTGTCACCCACTATCAGTCTGATATATAGAGTTGTATATAATATCTTCCATTTTATAGATCTGTGTATATATGTGTCTGTGTGTTTAGGCAGCAAGAATATAAACAATTCTTAGAAATAAATCATCTCAAAAATCCACACCATGTAAAAATAATGTTGTCTATGAATTCTTATGTCCTTTGGGAGATTGTATCTCCAACAGTAACAAACAACATTAAATTCTTACATTGGCCACACATGCACCATACTCTCTCATAGGTTGACTTGTCATTTGCCCAAATTTAGTACAATTCACACACATATATGAGCTCAACTTATACAACAAATAACCAAAATAATGTGAAAATAAGATAAATTTTAATAGATAATACCAAAATGTTGCATAAAAACTCAATGCATCTTTGTGTAAAGGGTTGATATATATAAACTTAAGTTTAAGTTCACCTTTTTAAAATGTTCAAAATCCCAGTATTCACAAGCTCTTTGGCATTACTGATATTTTATGTTGCCCCTATGTGTGCAAATTGCACTAAATTTTGACAAATAAGAAATCAACCTACCAAAATTAGCCAAAATAATATTAACATAAGATAAATTTTAATAGATGACATCAAAAATATTATATAGGACTCAAAGCAAAGAAAGGTTTAACATTCTGGAAACTGTTGTAATACAAGGAAAAATTCTTAGAAATAAAAAAAAAAAATTTATAACATAAATATGTTATAAAATCACTACAAAAATAGCCATTTTGTTTCAACACCCTCGGTGTCTTATCAAGTGATGATGTTGAATGTAAAATAAGTGGTTTTAAAAGTTTCAAATTAATTTGAAACTTTTAAAACCATTCATTCCGTATACACCAATTATATACTTGGGTATATATATATATATATATATATATATATATATATATATATATATATATATATATATATATATATATATTTATTTATTTAAAAATATGATTCCATTGCAAAATAAATAATTATATTTATGCCCTACTTTTGTATCAAGCACTATTTTTTAAAAATAGTAACAAAAAATACTAAAGAACTTTGGATTATTTACCTAACGAGTTCTTTCCTATTTTCTATATATTTTACCCACATTATTTATATATATATATATATATATATATATATATATATATAAAACCATATCTCCCATATGGAATATTGCAATCATAGCAGAGAAGACAAAAGCCTCAAGATTACAAAATGATAGATGCTGTCAAGAAAAATTTTTTATAGCATTTAAAAGTTTGTCTGATAGTGTTTGTTATTTTATAGATTTATTTTTTTAAGTTTGAAATGATTGAGATATTGAAATATATGTTTATTAATGCCTTCCTTCCCACATAAGTTGTGCATTATGCTTGAAAAGAGAAAATATTAAATAAAACCAGCCATTTTAAAATATACTTAAAATCAGAAAGAGACAGTTGAAATTTCTGGAATACATTATGAGAAAGGATGGCTTGGAAAATTTAATACACACAGGACAGATTGAAGGCAAGAGGGACAGAGGAAAACAGTGCATAACCTACATAGTGAGCTTGAATAAATGAATAACAGAAAGGGTTCAGGAGAGATAGCAAAAAGACAAAATTTATTAAAAGCTACTAAGGACAGGAAATTGTGGAGAGCCATGACTGTCAGCATCCTGAAGGGACACGGCACATAGAATAAGTAGCTTTCTTACTTGCTCTCTACCTTTACTCTTTTTGATCTTCTTTTTCTCTTCCCCCTTGTTTTTCCCAATCCTGTTGTTATATGGAAATGAACAACTAGACATGTATGCTATATATATATATATATATATATGATTAATGTTATATTATTGTTTAATGTATACTCCCTTTGCACTACCATTAATGTATGCTCCCTAATCAACGTTAAGAAACGTGTTTCTTACTCCTTGATATGTCCACTTTCTCCCTACCCTCACTTTCTTTCTACCAGTACCCAATAAAAGCCAGTCACATTCTGTGTCAGCACTCTCTTAAACCTCAGACTTGTGTCTGTCCTGTTTTGCATGACTTGATGTAACAATTAATGTATATTTGGGCAGCAACATACTTTTAAACATCTTTGGTTAAATATGATGGACAAGAAAAATTTTATTAATTTTTTTGTTTTGATGATGCTAGTTTTCTCTGTTTAAGATGTATTTTTGTGTTGTTTTGAATACTAGTAGGAGTGTTTATTCCAAGCCAACATGTGTTGAGTGTAACTGGAATTCAAGTGAGCTTCTTTCTATTATTCTTAAAAACTTTCAGCATGCCACTCCTATTGTTAAACAAAGTAGGGTTGATAGTGGGAGAGAGATGCTTAATATACAGGGCCTCTCTTATAGGGAGATGTTTTCAGTAATTTGACTTTCATAGAATTTTAGTGTTTTCAATCAGAATTTTTCTTAAGGGTTCTTCTAGATTGTAGATGTAGATAGATGTTTTTTTACTGCACTTTGCACTGATAAGGGACATGGGAGGTTTGTTTGTTTGTTTGTTTGTTTGTGTTTTACGACATATTGACCTAGGACATGGGAGGTATCTACTCAAGGAGGTGGTAGTATGTCCATTATAGGTAATTGATTTATGACACAAAGCAGTCTTGTACTGGGTAGTGAAATTGATACACTATATTGTTCATTGCTAGTACATACACACACATATATATATATATATCTGACAAAGTGAAAAAAGTTTTCATGTAACACAAGTCCTAAGGGATGAAACAATGCACACAAAAATGTTTTCCACTTTGTCATACATCTTTCCTGCAAAACTGTTCTTTATATATAAAAATTATATAGATTTAGGAAAATCTATGACAAGTGGAAAAATTTTTCATACAATATTTGAGTAGACTGCTTTAAACAACATGCAAACCCATTTCTTTATTGGCCAATCATATTGTATGCACGGAGAGGTGAGTTGAGTAGACTGCTTGAAAAACTGCTAATTTTTCTGCTATGAGTCAGTAGTCATAGAATTGTAAAATTAGAGTGTTAAAATTTCATTGAAAACATGAATTGTTTTTGTGATTATTGCATGAAAGTGTTAGTATAAATGAGTTCTCATAGTGAAAGGAATATTAAAGTTTGATTGGGTCAGAGAATGACCCTAGCTAAGTTAAAGTTAGGGAATGTGACTAGTTTGGATAGTGATCTCAGGTCTGAAAAGTTGTAACAAAAAAGTAATTGGATGAAAGAAATACTTCTTGAAAAATGAATAACTGACAATGCTTTTACTTGATAATAATTCACAATAATAATTTCACTATTATACATGTTGGTTTTCAGTGAACAGCTGTAAGAAACAATCAAATCTAACCTGTACACAAAGACATCCAAAGAGAAAAGAACACCATTGTTCTCCGTTTCACATGCAAATTATAAAACTGAGTGTCCTTTAGTGCTTGATGAAATACCACAGCTTCAACTTCACTACTGAACACACAGAAAGCATCATGACATACTGAAAATAACAACTGGATTTTTACCAAATCAAATGTTACTATAAGGACAGACGTCATAACAAGGGAGTTAACTCGCTCAAATATGAGAACCAAGTTATGCCCCTTGATCAGAACTCTCTAGAACAACAATGAAGAAAGGGGAATTTAAGGTGATGGTCACACTTCCTCTCATGTTCCCTGTCAGGAACTATTAATTTACCAGTAATTCACTGATCATCATTTCCATCTATTGTTACTGAATAGTGAATAAAAGTTCGAATTGCATGTTTATTCTTATTTAATACAAATAAGTATGCTCAGCGACACAAGAGTTACATAACTTATATAGAGAAAAATATCTAATTTCAACAGTTTAACTTCTTTCTGGATAGATGTGAACCAGATTTCATGCTCAAAATTCCTATTGCCATTTACACCTTTTGGAAGATATTGCTGACATTAAATGAACTAAATCATATGAATTTAATATTAGTATGACCTCATATTTTTCTCAAAACATCAATTGCCAGAATACTGCTCTTGTATTTTGCATTTTTTATTTTGCATTCTGATATCAAAATAAACATACATTATGAAAAGTTCTTAACAATGACTTTTCATGATACAAAAATATTCAGATATTCATGAAGTTTTTTTTTGGGGGGGGGGCTAAGTCAGAATTAGTCAATCAACATGTGTCAATGAAACACTGATTCAGGAGAAGTAGCTTGCACTGATATCTCATTGACGGGGGAGGATTTCTCTTCAAATGGTTGTAAACAAGACAATATGTTACTGACAATGGTATCAACAGCAGCCATAGCACCCATACCTGAAAAAAGAAAAAAATATATATATAAGTATATTTTATTACTTTAAATATTATTTTTAGTGAATAGTGGATACTTATATTGAGTAGACACGCCATTTATTTTAAACAGTATTTTATCTACTGGCCTGAACATTTAAGAAATCTTATTAAAGAAAATGCACCCTCCAGCAGGCTTAAAACCTGTGTCCCTCTTTGCCAGAGAAACCATCATTATATACGAAAATGAGCTTTCAAGGAAATCTGAACAAATAAAACGTGCTTTAAAAAGCAAATAGAACCTTGCTTGATCATGAAGATCTTTGTGGCCGAATGGTCAATGCATATCAGATATATCTATGTTTTTTCCCAGCATCTCTAGCAAAGGATTGTATATTTTTCTCTGTGCAGTGTCACGTCATGGTGTTGATAATCATAGCTCTCCACAATTTCCTGTCCTTTATAGCTCTAAATAAATTTTGTCTTTTTATTATCTCTTCTAAAGCTTGCTCCACCATCCATTTACTCAATCCCACTAGTTAAATTTCAATTGTCTCTTCCTGATGTTAAGTATAAATATCTGTTTCCATTTTCTCTAAAACGTATTCGTTACTCACATGTTTGCATCCATGGTATTCTCAGCACCCTTCTGTAGAATCAATTTTCTGTTGCTTCAAATCTCTTCTAGATCTGTGAGATTTTCCAGCATTCACTGCCAGATAGGAGGACTGATATTACATAACAGGTCAGTACTCTTTTCTTTGTTTCTAGTGAAATTTTCCTGTTTCTTATATGAGTTCTATTTGAAGTCTGGAGTGAACTGGCGACAAAAGACATTTAAAAGCATGGAGCCACATTCAGAGTGGAACCATTCATAGTGACTAAGTAATTTTCATCTGCAGAATACATTATAACAAATTTCAAAATTTTAGCAAAACCATCTCTTCACTATATGATATTCTACAGAATTATGAAGTCTGTCTGGACAGAATCCAAACCATTTACAATTATCATCAAAAAAAGGAGGATTTGAACAATAGGCACTGGGACCAGAAATTATCACTTTTTAAAATAATTTTTTCATATCACTATATTAGGAGAAAGAAGTATGAGAAAGTGAAAAAAGTAACATAAAAAGCATAAAATTAGTCTGATGAAGTCCTAAAGAATGAAACGTGTCACATGAAAAAGTTTTCCACTTTGTCATACTTCTTTCCCGTAAAATTGTTCTTGATATATAAAAGTTTATATATTGTTATCCCATATTACTATATATTAAGCACCTAGATCACAAATATCTAAAAAAATGTATTTTTGTTTTATTAAATTTTATAAAGTTAATAGGGGGTCCAGTTTGTAATGTAAACTCATTGTAAATTGATCCCCCAATGCAAGCTAAAGCAAATATGCACCTGCATGTTTTCTTTGTTCAAACTTTTTTTTTTCCAATTTATAATTTATGTAATAGAGTTTTATGTAATCAATAGCAAAATATGAAAAAAAGAACTAAATTTTTTTTACATTTTAAGAAAATTTGTTTTGGCTTTCATAGAGGGAAGAATTTACAAGGAATTTGCATATCAAACTGGACACTGCTATTTATTTTTAAAAAGTTTAATGAAAAAAGTTTTTTATATTCATGATCTGGAGTACTTCATGTATGGTAATATGGAAAAAAATTTGTAAAAATGTGGTTATTTCTGGTCACAGGACCTATTGTGCAACTCAACCCCTTACTGAAATAACTACATAAATATCCTGCTTGAGATGATAGTGCTTTAGTTCTCTTTGAAGAACTTCTGTTGGAACCTCACACAGTTATACCAGCTTCCCTACATTTCTGAAAAGTAACAGTCAGCAAAATCCAATTTTGGGATTGCCATCAGCTGTTTCATAGCATTCTCCTTATTCTCATCCACAGTCTGAAATCTTCCTTTCAACAGTGACTTAATCTTTGGCAAAAACTAGAAATGAGCAAATTCTGCATTTTAGTGGAGTTGATATACTTGAATAATGCTAGTTTTCCAAAAAAAAAACCTCCACAAGGCATTAAAAATGGGCAGACACATTGTCATAATGAATGGGATGGTCACTATTGAAGAAGTGGGTATGTTTAAGAAGAATTGATAAATTTTTCAATAACAATAAAAGGAAGAAGAAGAAGAAGAAGAATAGAGAAAAATAATATGAGACAAAACATACAAAGTAAAGCAACTATAAGACAGTAATAAACACGAAAGTTCACAAAATAGCAATAGTGTTCACACATAAAAGGGATGACTTCTGACTTCAAGTGAAGAAAGAAAAAATGTGTGCATAAAACTGAGAATTATCCATTTTTATTGGCTAGGAAGAAATCCCATGATGCATTTGTAGGTTTTGCCTATAAATTTGGGGGAGGGGTGATGTTTTTAGCACTTATTCCCCAGATTGAAACCAACAGTTAAATAATACACAATCTCAATCAATTGGTATCTCACTGTCAACTGAGTTGCATAACAGGAAGGTATACATTATTTTTCACACATGTATATTAAGGTCCCTTACGATTAGTTGTCAAGGTACTTCAAGGACATATAACTGGTTTTCAAGATATTCAAAATGACTGAATACTTTTCAAACAAATCTCATCTTTCAATGTTACGATTTAACATAATATACAAACTTTCTCACCAGTATCATCACAGGCCAATTTCTTTGCAACACATGGGATTTCAATGTATCCAAAGCTTGTCAAAGTGTCTATATGCTTTTTGGTGAGGACATGTTCCCACATCATGGTGTTCATTGCAGGAGCAAAAAGTAGAGGGCATTTCATGTCCCAGGCACGCACAATAGAAGTCTAAGAAAAGACAAAAAAAAATCTTTAAGTCTAACAAATAACTTTAATATCAATAAATGATAATTTCTTCTCTATTAGATACAAAGTTAAATAATGATTTCTTTTAACAATAATTTATGTATACGTGTTGTCTAAAAAGTTTTTTCTTTGTTGTCATTAGAAGGCTTTTAAAAGTGTTTAGTTTTAACCAAGTTACTTGAGAAAAAAAGATTGTTTCTTTCATTGTACTGTAATAAATGTTATATCAACTTGTATTTTCTTTTTTCAATCTAATCTAGATCTGTTTATTTTTGCTCATTGATACTAACAATGAAAATGGAAGAAAATGAGTAACATTTTCAGTATATTATTTTTTTTATTTCAAGATATAAATGCAGACTCAGATGCAAAAAAAAATTTGTACAGGTTATGGAGAAGGTACTGTATATGATCAAACATGTCAAAAGTGGTTTGCAAAATTTGAAAATTTCTTGCAAACAATGCTTAATTATCAGATAAATCAACTGAGATTGATAATGATCAAATGAAGACATTACTTAAAAATAATCAGCATAATACAGGGTGTCCACAAAGTCATTCCAGTCTGAAACATAAAACCATAACATTAATAAAATCTATTATATTTAAAAGAATTTTAATAATAACATTAATATGCAACAAAAATTTAGTTGCTGCCTCTTCTAAGTTTTTCATAATGTCTTTTTGAAATTGTCTAAATACTTTGTAGACATTCTGTACAATGTGTGAGATAGCTAATATACTCAAAGTATACAAATTAAACATTGAAAATCATTTGTGCAAGTTTAGTTATGATTTGATGTCTGGCTTCTACATACATTAAGCAAAAAAAAAAAATAACTGTATTTCAGTGTGTGATTTACCACTTAAAAATAATAAAAATGTTCCATTTTTGAAAAACGTGTGACAGGCAATGAAAAGAGGATACCTTACAGCAACATGAAATGCAAGAGATCATGGAGCAAGTCCAATGAATCCCTACTAAGTAAACTAAGGATTGGTCTTCATCCAAAGAAAGTGATGTTGGGTATATGATTTGTTTAGAATTTTATTCTAGAGAACCAAATGAAGGTTTTGATCAAGTATTGGTCTCATTCAGACCAAGTGAATTAATATAGTAATAATAATGATAAAAGCATAAAGAATTAATAGAAAGGATATAATATTTCATCACAATGATGCTAGAAAACATAATTTGATAATCAGGAAAAATTCATTACAGCTTATCTGGAAAGTTTTCACTCAGTAGCCATATTCACTTTTCAGACTGTTATTTTTCCAGTTTTCACAGGAAATTTTGAAAGGAAAAAAATGTAATTCCTTGAAGAGTGCAAAAGGTATCTACAGTTGTTCTTTGTTTAGGAAGATAAAAAAAATTCTGGAAGGATGGAAATTATGAAGTTGCTTGAAGATTGTCAACAAAAAGTGGAACAAAACAGTAAAAATGTTCTTCAATAAGGTTAACTGTCTGTTAGTACTGTGGGGAATTTGCTCAGCATTAATATTGTGGGGTTTTGAAACAACCCATTTTAAATATTAGAGATATATCATTTATTTCTCAATTTTCTTCTTATATATTGTTTGAAGTGTTCTTTCTGGTTTTTATAGGATAAATAAAACTGCAAAAAAATTTTATTTTGAAAAATCAAATGCAAAGGACAGTAACAAAAAAAAAATAATTTCAAAAATTAAAATATACAAAAAAGGTTTCATTTTGTTTTTTGTTTGTTTTTTGTTTAGGAGCATATCAACCTCAATGGGTTATTTAATGCAGAAGGTTTTAGTGATACACGTCTTACTAATTAAACCATAGCTGGGGGGAGAAGAGGTGGATTCATACCTTTCCCAACAGTATTTGCATATAAGTGAATATAATGAATCCAGCTGGAATTAGAACTCGGCTCTCTGATTAACATTTCCAAGACATTATCTATTACACTACCTGTACATCCACGCTTACAGCACCTGTTATTACCAAGTGATCACCCATCTAGGTACTGACCAGGCTCGGTGTTGCTTAACTTTGGTAATTGTACAGGAACCGGTATTTCAACATGATGTGGCTGTAAGCCATTTTATTTTCAGTAAACAAATAAAACAGCTTGTAATTCACACAAATATTATAAGTAAAACCAGAAACTCTTTGTAGTTACTTGACAGAGGTATCAAAAACGCTACATAACTAATCATGAAAATATGACTTGTCACTTGTTAAATATTGAAGAAAAACATTTTGCGGGGTATTTGAACACACCACAGATACTTACAGAGGGTTATGGGCAAAAATAAAATATAAAAATTGTTTTATTTTCATTTAATAAATCAAAAAAACATTACCAAATATATCTGTTATATGTCTATTTCTTAATTTTATATATATATATATATATATATATATATATATATATATATATATATATTAATCATTTAACCCCAACCAAGGCAATAAAGCCAGTAAAACACAAGGGATTACTGAGTCTTAGAGAATATGAGAGAAAAAAAAAACACTATTAAGGAGAGAGAATAAAAGAACAGGACTTAAGAGGACAGAAGATAATAAGTGATATTGCATTTAAATTTTTGAAGATCAAAGTTTACTGGAAAGAAAGAAGCTGGAAGAGAGTTCCACAAGTGAGAAGTATGAGAGAAGAAACTATTAGCATAGAACTTACAGTTACATCAAGTCATTCAACTGTAAAATGACAAGACCTTGCCACCAATCTAGTACTATGCTTAAATTCAGAAAGTCTAGGTACTAAAGAGGTAAGTTCATCAGAACAATTACCATGAAAGTATTTATAAAAGATGCACAGGGAATCTACATTATGGTGGTGGGAAAGTGATTGAAGCCAAGATGCCAGATTTAATCAAAAGTTGCAGATGTTTTTCTTAATGGATTTTATCAAGAATCATTATATATATAGCAGGAACACCAGACAGATGTGGCAACAATATTCAAAGCAAGGACAAGTAGTAGACTTGTAAATATGTAAGATATCTTTATATTGTTTTATACAGCAAGTAGCTTTTCTTTATGTATAACATATTATACCCAATGCAAACCCACACACACTATTATGAAAAGTATTACAAGAAAATTTTCACAGACTCTAAATACAACTTATATGAATTAACATTATTTGATGAGGCATACAAAACATTGAAAATAGTAATAGTCTCAGTATTTTGAATATTGAAAATGTCAGAATTTCAAGGCATAAAGTACTCTCTTTAAACCCCAATAAGCCTTGTGTCAAACAAATCTAAATATAATAAATACCTTGACCAACTCAAATATTGCCAGGAAATATATCATGAGATGCTGAAAAGTTCTTTGATTCAACTGATTTTGTTTTTTATGGATTATCAACCCTATGTAAATTATTTAAAGCCAAAACATATTTTGGATTGTAAGTGAATATTGCATTAACAATTTTTTTAAAATTACAATTATTTTTTTTCCAGATATTTAACCCATAGCTGGAGAGGGAAGAGATGGATTCATAACTTTCTCAAGGATATTTGCGCATAAGTGAATATAATTTAACTTGACTGGAATTCAAACTCAGCTCTTCAATTTCTCACTCCAAGCCTCTATACATTATGCCACTTGCATGTCCTTTTTGGTCCAACCCAACTCTTAAAATCTGACCAGAACTACAATTATTTTAAATCTTGGCATTAAATATTTTAGTAGAAATTTAAGCCATTTTTTTTTAATCATTTCACCCCAAGCAAGGCATAAAAGACACCGAGACACAAGGCACTACTGTGTGTGAAAGAAAATGAAGTGACTTTAGGAGAAGGAACTGGAAATCCAATCCTAAACAGGAAACAAGGGATAAATCTCTACGACTGAGAAAACAGAGAAGGAGTATGAAGCAGGCAAAAGGCAAACCTGTCTAAAATCCCATGTACAGTGGAACCTTGGTTTATGAATTTAATTCATTCTTGAAGCCCATTTGTAACCCGAAATGTTCATAAACCAAAACTATTTTTCCAATAGGAATCAATGTAAAATGGATTAATCCATTCCTGGTCCCAAGATGATTGCTTATTTAAACTTTAACAACAGTACTTTGTGCACAAGTTTATATACAAAACTAATGAAAATTATTAAATCTAAGAAATAAATAAATAAACTCAAAATAAACAGATAAAATATAGACAAACACTTCAATTTTACCATACCTGTATATAGGAGAGTTGATGACGTAAGAAGGAAAGAGATGTCATTGTTTGGAAAGGGAAAGGAAAGACATTATCATCTCTTTATTTATAAGAATAGTATAGATCATTGATTTTGCCATATGAAACTGAGCTGGAAGTGACAATATCATAAATGATTGTTCTTCTCTTAACTTTTCTTTTTCCTTTACCAGTATCACTGCTAGCTTTCTTTGGAGCCATGACTGAGGACTAATGAAGAGAAAAAAAGGCACATTCATCAAAAGGCATTTTCATCTTGAATATTCTGTTCAAAAACCGATTTGTTCGACATGTGAGACATTCGAGAACCAAGGTTGCTCTGTAGTATCTTTTGTTAAAAGAAAAAAAATAGTATGACAATAAACTACATCAAGCAGAAACAAATCTGATCAGAAGGTTTTGAGGAGCATGGAGCCACATTTTAATTTCTGTTGTTCCCAGGTCCACCCTGACCTGGGGTGGTAGAACTTGTTAGTGTTCCAGCTATGAGCAAATAGTGAACCCCCAAACTAGGGTAAAAAAACTGAAAGTATAGGTTTAAAACAAAAAATAAATTGCCAGCAATAGATTTTTGTAAAAAGAAAAAATTACTCAAGCTCCCAAGAAAATTAAATTTCAGCATTAAATGACCCATAAGGAGTTGATATGCCATTAAGAACAAACAAACAATAAACAACACAGAATAAAAAATGTGACAAAAAAGACATTCTTGTGTACAAAATACATGCGCCAACAAAATTAAATTACTCCTTTCAATTTACCTCTCCCCCAACTCCCACCCAACACGGTGCTTATTTGGCATGGCATGCTTATTGTTTTAAAAAAACTTTTCCATAGTACAATTATTTTTATGCAAGGACAGGAATCATGCTATATCTGAATGGAAAGAGCACATAACGGAGAAGTCTTAAGGAAAATAGAAACAAAACACACACTTATAATCAGAAAAGAGACAGCAGAAATTTCTGGGACACATAAGGAGAAAGGAAGGCTTGGAGAATTTGTCACTCACATGACATATTAAAGACAAAAGGGACAGAGGAAAGCAACAGAACACCTACCTGACAAGCTTGTGTGAATGGATGGTGGAATGGTGAGTGGAAGAGATGGCAAAAAGGTCAAATATTGCTAACAGCTGCAAGGGATAGGAAGTTGTGAAAAGCCATGATCGCCCATGTACTGGAGGGACACAGTGCATAGAAGAAGAAGAAGCTACATGAGAAAATATGTATTCTCATATTTATTTGAATCAGCCTGCTTATTTTAGCAGTTGAAAAATTCACACCAGCATGACTATTCAAGACAGCACTTGTATTTGGCACAAAAACATGGAATTAAGCCAGATCTTACAATTCTTGGAAATATAAATAAATTCAGTTTTTACTTTCAAATGTTTCTTGTGTGCAATGAAAAAATAAAATTAACAAATGAATGGAAACAAAAAAAAAAGATGATATTAAATAATGTCAAAATGTATGATTGCAGTTGGTTTGTGAATTAGTCCAGAAAGTTTTGTAAGTATTTGCTGCTGATGAATTTAAAACTGATGTACAAGTAAGAATAAATCTTGCTCACCAATAAATTATCACAAAGCCCATTGGCTATTTTGGCCAGAGTGTTCGCATCCAGAGGAGAAATGACCATTAGATCAGCCCATCTTCGAAGTTCAATATGAAGAACAGGATCTTTCATTTTCTGCCACTACAAAATAAAAGAATTCATAATCCACAAATCTTAACCATTATTATATTTTGTTTTTAACTTTAGATCACACAAAACAAGACCCAAGAGCCACTCAAAGTAGAGGCTTACTGAATGAGATAGTTTAAAGGGGTTGGAAAGGTGGTGACAAGAAGCATATATTATCTTCATAATGTAGGATGAATTCAGTGGCATACCTAGAGGGGATGGAGGGGGCAATCTGCCCTGGGCAGCACTTTTATGGCAGTAGCACTTTTGTGTCTCCTGTATAGGCTGTATTGGAGTAATAGAAGTTTTAATGTTGGGAGAGCACTCACGGTTGAAGGACCATTTTGATTGCAAGTAACTTAAACTATGGCATATATACTGGCCTATCTATTAAAGGCTATTAATCACTCAGCAAAACTTAAATTGTGCTCTCTCACTAAGAAGCAAAACCTATTTATTTCAACTACCTCTCTTGTTACTTTGAACAACACAAGCCACAAATCTCTTCCAATGAGTAAACAAACTTTCACTAATATTTTGTGTCGGGACATTTTATCCTCATATGAATGCTGGACAGTATGATCCAAGAAATAACTTTTTGAGATTTCAGCAGCTTCATGAACTTGCTGAGAAATATGCCATCCTTACCCTCTTGTACAGAGAAAAAGACTTCAGCATTTTATTGCTATTGCTGCTATTAAAGACGGAATACAGACAGAGAAAGAAGCCCCCCTCTCCCAAAATTTTGCAGTTTCTTCAAAATTATAAGCTTGAAAATTCAGTTCCAAATATAGTAATAATGCTGCTTATTTTCCTTGCAATTGCTGATAATGTTACTAACCATGAGAGAGGTTTTTCAAAAGTAAAATTTTTCAAGAATTTCTTAAGATCTAATGAGCATCTTGTGGTTGTGAAATCTTGCCATACTGTCTATAGAGTGACAATTGACAGATGAAATAGTTTTTGACAATGTCATTGAAGAATTTTCCAACAAAAAAACTTTGTAGAAAGTTGTAATTTTCATTTTAGAAATAAAGATAGTTCTTTAAGAGTGAGTCACTGTGCAATGTATATTTTTTGTGGGGGGTGACAAACTTAAGGGCATCACAGGGCAGCACACAATCTAGCTATATGACTGGATAGATATCAGTTGACCCTGCACTCAAAGTTGTTAAGTTTGTAGTGGTCAGGGAAGCATTCCCTCAGGATTCTGTTCCACAAAGTAACAGTTCTGGAGAAGAAGTTGTCTGAGTGGAACTTACTCCTTATCAGGAAGACAAAGGAAATGGAGATAGCTTGCCATTGTGAACATGTCATGGTGGGGTCTAGCTGTGAAGGTCTCAGCTAGTAGGATTAATATGTTTGAATATTTACCATACTAATAGCAACAGAGTAGTGAGAAGGTAGCAACTTCTTGTTTGTTGGATAGGGGTTGCAGGGTGAAAAATAATTCATCAGCCACAAGGCCATGTAAAAACCTTTGAATCCTCTCAAGGCTAGAAAATGAGGACTGGGCAGCTTTCGACCAGATATGGCAGCAACACTCCATTCTTGGTCTGACCTGACTCTTATAAAAATAGAGCATGGTGACTAGAGCTTGGTATTTTCAAGAGTGATACAAAGAACTGATAATTTAAGAGGGCTATTAAGTATAAAACATGTTTAATATTTATCAAGAACTGTATATACAGTGTAACCCGGATATAAGAAACCCGGATATAAGAGAGATTTTCTCTGGTCCCAAATTAGAGCCTGTGTTAATGTAAGCAAAATAGACCAAACCCGGATATAAGAGAAACACGGATATAAGAGACTTCTTCTCCGGTCCCAACAACTCTGTTATATCCAGGTTACACTGTATAAAGATAATTCTTTAAAAAAAAATGGCAAGTTGACCAAATTTTGATTTAAAAAAAAATTGAAATGTGAACATTTGATAAAATATGTATAACCACCAAGGTAACTTTCTCTAATTAAAAGGGTTCAAAGGTCGGACTAGTCTACTGCATTCACTTTCACACTAATACATTTGGAAAAAGCATACATCCATCCCTTCTTTTTCCAGTTATGGGCAAAATAGCAGAGTAGACTGAGTTCTGTAGCCTTAGGTGGCAAATAGTCTAGGATAAGGAAAACTGAATTCCAAACTGTGAAGAAAGCAACGGAAAACTACTCCAGTCATTATTCCAAAACATGATAATTCACAGATAATAAGAAAAAGGAATCTGTGAAGAGCTATTATCGCCTATGTCCTGGAGGGATATAGCATTTAGGATTAAAAAAAAAAACAAAAACAAAAAAAAAACGATAAACAAAAGAAGGTGTTTAATTTCTTCTATCTAAAACGCTTACAATACTAAGGGAAGCAACTTATCAATATCTGTCTACTTACCTCCCTTGACAGTGTCCCTGCTTAAATATTGTAAGGAAAATAATTCTTAATTCGTAATTTTTTTTTTTTAACTAAATGTTTAAGTCCTTTTACAGTCTAGTAATAACAATCCTTTATTTAAGAAATTCAGACAACTTCAGCAGTTAATTCTCTTATAAGTTATTGCCTAGTTTATCTTTCATTTATTACTGTTGCCTTTTTATTATAGCATCATTATCATCATCAGTACCACCTGACCAATTCCCTCCAAATGTCTCAGTTGAATGTCTCTGTGAATGATCTTCCAGTTCACTCAATGACATTGCCTGCCACTTTGTTTAATGGTCATATCATATTGAAAGAACAGTGCTTGTACGATCACCAGTTAAGCAATGTTGGCCTGGTCAGTACCTCAATGGATGACCACTTAGGAATAACAGGTGTTGCAGCTTAGATGTGTGGGTGGTGTAATGGATAACAGCTCAGAATGAGAAATGGTTTTATTCTAATCCATAAAAAATAAATTTTCTTGAGTGCATTTAAAAATTAATTGTAAATATTTGTTGTATCCTGTAAGCACTTCAACATTTTTTAAAAACTACTGAAAGAAAAAATGCATAACCAACGTTCATTGTAAAACTGATCCTAAATATAAAAAGACTTCAAAGCAATGAAAAATCAGTCTCCCACAGTCTTAATGACTAGGATCAATGTGTAGTATCTGTTCAAGCAGCCGACAGCTGGCCCATGGCTCCAGCCATCAGTAGCAGTTCCAGCCAGCCATCAGTTACTGCTCCAGCTATCTTCAGTAGGCATCCAACTTCTGCTGCTTCAGTCAGCCTCCAGTTCCAGCTCTCCTTGCCAGCAGCAACGATATGCAATAAACTGTCCTTTTCAGGACAACTCTTCAGCAACTATAAAACTCCTTTTCAGGACAATGCTCTTCATCAACAACAAAACTGCTCTTTTCAAGACAATGCTCTTCTCACCCACTATATGAACAGGCAAAGATATTTTTTGCCTAGTGCACTGTAACATTATTTTTGTTGATGTATTTTCTTTAAGAAAAAAAAACTTAGTAATACATTTTTTACTCAATACTTTGTTTTTTGTTGTCTTCTGTCATTCAATATCTGTTTAAGCGCCAAGAAAATAAGAAATTTATCACTGGGACAGAAATTCATGCCTGTCTTTTCTATCTTCACTTTTCACATTTCAATCATTTTATTGTTGTTAAAATCTCATCTGAATACTACAATGAACACACTGAAATCAATTTGCTTTTGATGCTTTTTATGAGGTTGATGCTAAAGTCTCTAGTGCCATCTTTACACAATGTTAAGGAGCCAAGTTTGAATTCCAGTTGAGTTTATTACATTCACTTATGCACAAATACCCTTGAGAAAGATATCAATCTACCTCTTCTCCCTCTAGACATGGGTTAAATAGCAGGACAAACTGGGTCCTACAGCCTTGGTTGGCAACCATTCTGCCACAAAAAATAACAGTAACCTACTGTGAAAATTCTTCTTCCAAGTAAATGGTGAATCAAAAAGAGACATGATTACCCAAGCATGCATCATGTTTGGAACCTAAGGCAGGAAGCAACATTGTAAGATAGCACTGGAAAGATTGTTAACTCTTATGACGTGTCCATGACAAATGGTGGTTATGACATTTTCCAATGGGCCTGTTTCTTGTCTGATGGTGTCTTGCAATGCATCCTTTGTGATGCAATCTACATAGAAAGATGCCTGGGATGGTTCTGTAGCATTTCAAATCTAACACTTGCATTTTTTTATAACAGTACTCAGGTCAATTTATATCTTCTAGCCAATAAGCAAGCAGCATGGATCAGACATTAAAAAGAGAAAGTGTTAAGAACATGTAACCTATATCCTTGGGAGCTTATTTCATCACATACAGTGTCCCACAAAAAAACAGGAAATTTTAGATTTACTATATGATGAAAAAAATTAACTATATATTTTACTATATGAATGAACTAAAAAAATTAACTAACATAAATTTTCTAACCATTTGTTGTTCCAGGATGCTGCAGTTATCACATTTTAATGCAAGGTAATTATTCTCTTTAAGAACATCCAACTTGGGGACTGAAAAAATGCCAAGAAATTTTGCCAGAGTTCTTTAGTTTCAGCACCACATCTAACATTTATGTTTTTGTTATGTTTTAAGCTACTAAATTTCTATCCTTTGCTTTTGTTTCAAATAACAGTAATAAAAATTCCAAAAATTAAATAAACTGTACCAAATTTCCTTTTTTTTTGTGTGGCACCCTGTAGTTAATCTGACTGAGTAGCTATTCTATACAGTTAACTCAGTAAAGTCTTTATTTCCTGAGCATCTTGAAACTTTACCATAATTAATGAAGTCTGAGAGAACAGACATTAATCTATTATTGTCATCACTGTCCATTTTCAGGACTTGCACATACCAACTACATCTGGTAGCAAGGCTTCTGATCAGGAGATTAGAGTTTGCAAGGAGTGTGGAACCAACTCTTAATTGCTTTTGTTCCCAGGTCCACTCTGACCCGGGGTGGTAGCACCTGGTAGGGTCCCAGCTATGAGCAAATAGTGAACACCCAAACAAAAATCAAAACACTAGGAAAGTTTAA